GGTGCGAGCAATGTGCGGCCCCCGCTCCAACGTTGTATGACGGCCGCCCGCCTGCTGCGCTCGTGCGTTGAGACCCTCGTGGGCTTCGTGTTCTGTCCAGCATTCTGTTTGATTATCTCTCCGGTCGGTGTTCTCGTTGCCTCGCCGTGGATCGCGCTCGGCCTCTGCAGCTCCGACGCTGCTGTCGGCGTGCCTCCCGCCTTCCTCGCCTGGCGTCGCCTTCCATATCTGATTCCGATGGTGCTCTTTGTCGACCTGCCGATTGCCGCCTTATTGATGGCGGCACTTCTGATCGAGCCACTGTTCCTCCGGAATCCCCTCATCCTCGCCGTCTACAGCCTCTGCCGCCGCGCCTCACAGCTCCCGAACCGCGAGCCAACGCCCCCCGACGCCGAGTCCGGGCTTCACGCTCGCGAACGGTCGCGCGCAAACACCAACGACGGCGCCCGCTACCGCGAGCATGCCTCCGTCTGGGCTGCCCTCGAGGGCGACGGCGACAAGGTCCGGCCGGGAGATGTGCGGCTGATCAGTCTGAACTGGCTCATGGCGCTGGCAGAGCGGGGCGGCGTGCTCCCGCGGCGGCAAGACCTGTCAGAGGAGGCCTTCTTAAGCTCTGCTCAGCTGAGGCGGATCGAGCAAGGCGCAAGGCGCGGCTTCAACTCCGCCGGCTTAACGGAGGCCGGCGAGCGCTTGACCAAGGAGCCCTCCCTCTCATCCACTCTCGCCGTGCTCGCGAGCGTATTCGGCCGCAAGCGCAACCCCGACGGGGTCTGCAGACCACCCGGCCGAACTTCAGAGTGGCGGTGCTCCTCAAATACCGCTCAAACGCCCACGATGTTGTGCAGGGGACATATGCTGATGATCCTGGCCCGATTGGTTTGCTCAGAAAACTTCTGGGCGGTCGTTAAGGTTCGCTCATCGCACACCGGCCCGGAAGTATGTTACATCATACCTCCGGACGGGCGCCGGCATGCCGCCGGCTGCGGAGCTCGTCCGACGGCTCGCCGCGCTCAAGCCTCGGCCGGTGCTCGTGTCGGAGCGGCTCGGTGTGATTCGCGTCTCGCCGCACCTGTACAACACGCCGGACGACTTGCACTGCTTGCTCGACGGGCTAGAGCAGGCGGACATCGCTTCCAGGGGGGGGGGGGCGCACTTCTACT